TTGACCTGAAGTAGCTGTTGGGCTACAATCGAATCTCACTTTATTTTTGCACTTCTTATTTCATGGATGAGACAGAAGAGCTACAAAGTCCAGGGTTGTTAGGTTTCAGTTAAAACTATTTTTCTATGGTGTCACACACTGATTATCGTGCAGGTATGTGGGCTTGTTTGGGGAGAGGCAGTTACAAGCAGCTGGATAAAGCTTCGGTGGAAAGGATGATAATTGACCGTTAAACACTGCGGAAGCACCTCTCCTCCTCTTCCAGAGGACAGGGGCCATGCCTGATGACCTCTGAGAGGCCCGTGATTAGGAAGGCCCAGGTATGATGTACACTGGGCCACAGGCCCAGGAAGGAGGCGAGGCACCCGCCCACACTGCAAAGCAGAGAGCCCACTCAGGAGGTGGCCACCAAGTGCCAGGAACATAGGAGTTTCTCAAAACATACTTCATGAATAAAGAGAAAGTCAGCTTTCTCCTTTGGGTGGCCCTCAATTGCCTGGTTGGCTTTTCATGCCTCAGTTTCTCCAGGTGTAAAATAAGTATGAATCTGATGTTCTTTGACTCCGTGAGAAGCAAAAATGACTGTGATCATGAAATATTCAGCATGCACTGTAAACAATAATTAGTGAGAATAAACATGGCCGCGAACAAAGAAATCTCAACTGACAAGACACTTACAAAGTAATCTCTGGTTTCTTTGGATACACCTAAAGAGCGTTCATTAAATTTTTATTTTAGTACCATTGTAGGTAGGACTCAGTTTCCTTACAGAAAGTCAGGGAGCCCTCCAGTTCCCCACCTACAGTTGTTGAAAGGAACAAGTAATGCAAAGCACTTGCCTAAAATCCAAGGAATTATACAATAATAATAGTAATCATCTGTCACTAAAAGTATTTCCATCTTAGTAGGTTGCAAGTAATACATTTTCTCTTTACTTAAGTCTCTCTTTACTCTCTAAATAATGCATTACCCATTGCATTTACAATTTCCTAGCCTGCTTCGTGTTTTAAATTAGAATCTGGCCTGCCCACGTGAGCTAACACCTTCTACCTCAGGAATCACACTGGGCGATCTTTCACAACAACACTTGGAGATTTATGGCTTGGGCTGCCAGGTGGACCGTCAGCAATGCACAGCAATTCAGCAAAAGAACCCTCACACCTCATTTCTTCATTCAAATGAATTCAGCAAATATTTCTCAAGCATCAAGTCAGACCCAGGCAATGTGTTACAAGTACGATACTCTTCAGAAGGCCACAAAGACATGGAAAGTAATCATCTTAATAGAGGTAATAAAAATTTTACTGAGGATCTGTGGAAAGTATCTCAGTAACATTCAGGTTGGAATTGCCTAGTGTGGCTCAGGAGGAGGGCTGCGGCAGGAATCTTGACGAGGTCGGTTGCAGATAACTGAATCCCTTCGAGTGGACCGAAAAGGGACTTAATGTGGAAAGTTAGGTGCTTGCAGAATTCTTTGAAGGGCTAGAGAAGTCAGCTCTAGGCAGGCCTTCTAGGAGGACAGCTCTGAACAGCATTACAGAACTGGCTCACTGAGGAAGCTGCGAACTTTTCGAAGGTCGGAGGACGCCCCGACCGCTGGCACAGAATCACATTGCCCCAGCTGGGATCAATGCTCACACGATGGGTGGCCCTCACACAGGCTCTCGACCCCCAGGAAGCAAGGCGCCAGATATTCTTACAGGAAATCAAATGCCCCTGTCACCCTGATTGCCAGCAGTAGCATGCCTGGTCCCTGGTTCCATCCTCTGGAGTGTTTGGCCTGGTCGTAGGAGCTGGGCCTCACATGGAACCATGGCCGCGAGGAAAGGTGGGGAAATGCGGTCTCTAGGGCAAGTAGCCCGGCCCCGCGGTAGGTCCTGCTACAAGAGGGTGGGAGGGATGTGAGGCAGCCAGTTTCCTGTTCGTGCCTTGAAGTCTTCTTCATAAAGAGCTGCTGGATCTGGGCCTCGAGGGAATGAATGAGAACCCATAGACGAAGGGCACTTTGAGCAGCTATGTTTATTGTGTGTTGCCATGGTACAGAGCTGGGAAATGCACACGGGGCTCAAATAAATAAAAGTAATTTAGAAATAACAGTAGCACAGGATATAAAGCTGGGAGCAGCAAGACGTGAAGGGGGGGCACAGGGGACTGATTCTGGAGGGCTTGGGTCTTTTGACTTTAGGCTGTAAGTATGAGGGAGCCACAGAGAAGTTTTAAGGAGTGAGTGTGTACCTGTGTGTGTGAGCATATATGTGTGCATGAGTATCTCTGCGAATGTGGGGCAAGGATTAATTTTTCTTGACTGCCGGATATGTTATCTACAGGAGCTCTGGTAAATGTTGAACAATGGCCTCTTCAGAGGGGAAAGAAAAAGTCTCGGTTTGAGGCTATGCTGATATCTGTGTTGTAAATGCCTCCCACACGGCCCATGTCAAGCTACCAAGGTGGCTCACTTGATATGGCATTGGGGAGAGATGTGGACAGTGGGCTCTTGGGAGCTGGCTTAAACTGATTCTGGAACCCCTGTATATGTCATGTGAGTTAATTCTCAAAACAAGCCCCTAAGATGTGGAGTGGTTCCATTTCACAAATGGTGAAGTCGAGGCCTAAAGAGATCAGTATTACACAACTGATTAGCGCTTGAACCTGGTCTTAGATCCAGGTCTGCCTGTTTTCAACACCAATGTCTTTCAACAAGCCTATGCTGCCTCTGGAAGAGTAGCATATGTGGTCTGATCTCCACTTCCACTAAAGTCCTTTGGCAGAATAGAGCAGAAGCTGGTACGGTAGCATGAAAGAGTTCTAGACAGTATATAAGCAAATGGGTATGTTCGTGTTCCAATCAAATTGTATTCACCAATGCAGGTGCTGAGTCTGTATAGTATAGAGGTGGTTGGGAAGGAAGCATGGTCAGAGGTAGGAGATCAGCGAGAAGGCCAGTGAAGAGGCTGGGTGAGAAGCAAGAGACTGAGCCAAGGCAGGATGTCAGGAAGCATGGACAGATTGGGTTCAATGGCTGGCCTTCCAACGTATCAGATGGGGATGGGTGGGAGGAAGGGGCGGAGTCATAAACAGGAAGTCAAGGATCATTTCCAGATTTCTGGTTTATAGCTGTGAACATGGGGGAACTTTGGCCAGGACAGAATCGTGAGAAGCAGGTTTCTTTGGAGAAAGCTTTTGCTTTCAGTTGGAGCATGCTGAGTCCAAATGGCCTGTGGAAAGCTCAAGTGGGGACGAGCAGTGGGAAAATGGAAATGCATGTACCTGGGAGATAGCTCTGAGCTGGAGATTATGAGCAAATCTCTCCAGAGACGGTAGCTGAAATCTTGGCTGTGAATGAACTTGCCAGAGAGTCTGGGGAGGTCTGAGAACAAGCCAGTAAAGAAGCTTGGGAAACAGGGATGGTCACAAGGAGAACCCACTCAGAATCATGTTTCCATAGGCAAGGTAAGAGTGTTGCCAGCATGAGAGAGGAGGGGTCAGCGGTGGTGGATGCTGTTGATGAGATGCCCAGATTCCACTTCAAGAATGAAGGACAATTTCGGGCGCCTGGGTGGCTCAGTCAATTAAGCGTCCAACGCTTGATTTCAGCTCAGGCCATGATCTTGGGGGTCACAGGATCGAACCCCATGTTGGACTCCATGCTTAGTGGAGAGTCTGCTTGGAATTCTCTACCCCTCCTCCACCTCAAATAAATAAATCTTTTTTTTTTTTTAAGATTTTATTTATTTATTTGACAGAGAGACAGATAGCGAGAGCAGGAACACAAGCAGGGGGAGTGGGAGAGGGAGAAGCAGGCTTCCCATGGAGCAGGGAGCCCGATGCGGGGCTCGACCCCAGGACCCTGGGATCACGACCTGAGCTGAAGGCAGACGCCTAATGACTGAGCCACCCAGGCACCCCACAAATAAATAAATCTTACAAAAAGAAAGAAAAAGAAAAAAAAAAAAAAAAAAAAAAAATTTCCCCACCCTCTGTGAATACCTCTCAAAGATCGTCCCCGGCTGTCAGGCCCCTTTGGGGATTGCCTCACCTGAAGAGAACTGTCTGGTTCTGGGTCCCACCTCCTTCCCAGGAGTAGCCGATACCCACTGACCGACACAGTGGTATAAAGGCCCAGCTTCCTTGTTCCAAGTTGGGACAAGTCTGAAGGGCCACTGTAGCTCCAGGGTTCCCTGTGGAATTGGCTGAGGCCTAAGGTGGGAGCACATCACTGCTCAGCTTCTCCCTCTGCCCAGCCCTGCTTTCTTGCTCTGCCTTCTGTGGGTACTGAGCCCAAGTGCACTCTCAAACAAACAGCCTGCTTTCTCATCTCCATCTTACACGTGTCTTTTGGGAGCCCGGCATGTGACAGATGTTTTCTCCTCATGTCCTCTGCCCCTATGACGTTGCTGTTCAAGGGTGATCAGGACCAGACCAATCTATTCATTCATCACATCCTAAAACAAACATGTGGGGAGTGAAAACCAACACTCTGGTGTCTTACTGACTGAATAAAGCTTTATTTCAATGCAAAATAAAATGAGAAAAATTTATATATTCATATATAACAACATCCAAAATGTTTTCTGTGGTACAAATGGGATCATCCTAAAAAGTCTGTAAAGAATTCATTCTCCGCCCCCATATGCCAAAATATGATTTCACATAATTTATCTTCAGGACTTATGAACAGACTTGGTGTCATAAAAGCACAGGAAAACACTAGAAAAAGTGATTGTATAAACAGTGGGGGTTTGTTTTTATGTTCCAGTAGTAAACAGCACGGCAGTCCGCATCGAGGGAAGAGAACGCTCTCCCAGAGCTGAGTCAGCAGACAGTCTTTGGGGTTAGTTCACTCGGCACTCCAGGCTGGGGAGTGAAGCCCATCTTTAAAAGTCAGGCGCTGTGTGATTCTATTACTATTTAAGGACATGAGGGAGAAAAGAGTTTCCCTTAGAAGTAGTAGCTGCATATGAGATTCTAGGCTTATTTTAGATATCTACCTTTTATTCTCCTTTTTTTTTTTTTTCAGAGAGGTGACTTTGTAGGGATACCTTATGGAGACTCCTCTTTCTGGTCTCATTGTGGCATCATTTCCCACTAAGTCGGTGCGAACTGGCAGTGCAGAGAAATACTCCTGTGGCTGTTTCTGGATTCGACTCCCTCCCACATAATTGCACGAAACCTGGACTTTTTGTTGCTCCTGGACTCAGAAAGCAGTAGGGTGTCTACCTAATTTAGCACCAATTTGAAGGCGGTTCATTGCAGATTTCAGAATTTAATGCCTATGGGAATTTTATAGACACACATCCAAACTCTGAAGACCTCTCTATCCCCCCAAAAGGCTAAGATGTTTCTCCAAAGAAAGCAAATGCTGGGGTTATAGGTTAGGGGAACAAATGCTCTTTAAAGGCTGGATCCTCATGCATATAGACTCTATGCATGTTGTCGGGTACCTTTCCTTCTGAAGATAGTTCAACGAGTTCACGAATCTTGAAAGGGAATAATGAATCATGTTTTAATTTTATTTAGTTGGTGGCACAAATAAAGCTACAATGAAGTTGCACACCTCCTTTATAGGGCAGCAGGCAGTTTGCTCCATGGGGTGACAGTGGGTCTGTGGGTCTCATCACACGATCAATTATAAGATCTTTGCTCTATGCTGTCCTGTGGGGTCAATGCATGTTGACCTACAAATCTAAGAATAACGAGCTTTGCGGTAATTTTATTTTCCAATTTTTGTTTGTTACTCAATTATGATTTAAGAAGATGTTCCTGTCTTTGGGATTGCCTTTCGTCCATTGATTAATATTGTGGGGAAACAATTTTCTACCAAGAGTGATATTGCCATAGTCCAATGGCTCATGGGGTTAACGAGATGCAGTGTTTCCCTCCCTGGCAGAGGACTGGATTCTCCTGCAGCTCAAAGTTTTCAGTGGTCTGCTCCCTTTCCTATTTCTCCTCCTGCAGAAAGGGATAAAACAGAACTCCAACAAGTATCTAGTGACTCGAGGCCAAAACATCATTTCAAGGCCCCAATGACCCAGCGGTCAGATCAGGAGCCAGGTGGGTATATGTTGGTGGGTTTGCTGCTCACTGTGTCACTCTGTTCCGGGGGTTATTATATTCTGAGCGACAAGCAGACACCTGATTGAGTCTTTCCAAGACCATAAATCAACCAGGAACTACTTCCTGCTACTGGGCACCTGCTGATTACAGCCTGGTCTTCTAAATACTCTAAACAACCTGTTCTCCTAGAGACTGGGAAGAGTTCTGCAACTTCTGGGTGGTGACAGTGGAGGGCTGGGACACAGGAATTTATAAAGCTTATATTCGAACTGCTCTTCATTGTGGCTTGGCTTGACAGAGCCTCTGTCACCCACAAGGTAGCTTCCTTTGGGCAGGGTCAAATTGGGCATGTGTTATACTTCAGGCAAGAAAAGAAAACTGCTATCATCTATTTTTCGTCCACTTTAACAGTACCTTCGCATCCCTGGCTGCCCCCTCAGGATTCACAAGTGTTTTATTGACTTTGTGTACAACACGAACCCATGTTTTGAGCAGCTTGCCCTGAGCTCGGAAGCTGGAGGTATTGTACTCCCAAGGTGGCAACGTGGTGAAAACATGGGCATTCTTCCTACAAGAGCCCCTGCTCTGACATGCACAGAATATCTCACCTTCTCGCACTGCCTCTGGCTGACCCTCATGTGGTCTTGGCCTCAATCCAAAAGGAGACTTCTGGATCGGCTACGTCCAATAGCCTAGAGAAATTTGGTTCAACTATGCAACAGACCGAAGAGCTGATTTTTAATGCTCCCCAACACTTTGCATTTCCCTCACTTCACCATTTTCTTCCAGAAAGTTTATTCAGTCTGAGGGGAAAGTGTCATTCAGGATGTTGGCAGAGAAGCCCCGTAGCTCACCTGCATTCACCTCTGGGTGAGCAGGGTGCAAGACCGTCAACCTCCTTGCACAAACTGCCAAACAGTGTAAGGTGCTGGCTCAAGAGAGATGGCAGATGGCCAAAACCAACTTGACAGTCTATTTTTAAGAGGGCCATAAGTAAATTGTAGTTTAGAAAGTGATACCTCTTAAAGTCCAGTAAATAACAAGTATTTATGTCTAAAACCAGCAGCTGCTTCATTCCTGGTAACGCAACTCTATTTGAAATAAAAAAAAAAATAAAAGACTAAGCTGGGCTGGATACCCTGTATATTCCATAATATTATAATTTATTAAACCCTGTCAGTCAGAGGTATTCTAATCTCAGCCAAGATATATCTACATTGAACTCAAGACTTTTATTTATTTATTACCCCTCCTCCCCCCGGAGGGAATGGAGAAGGAGCAGTAAAGGCTTAAAGTCTCTTAAGCACCACTGAACAATTCAAGCTTGCTGTTTTGCTGGTCCTCAGTCTTTTGTTGTGTTCTCATTTGGGGCAGGTTGGACGTTTTAGAAGTCCTGCTAGAATAAGTAGGAAATTACTGCAAAGCTCAAAGGAGACGTGACGGGTTTTGGAGGGTGGGGTGTCAGCTTTTCAAAGCCCTAAGATCTTCTATTCCAATTGGAGATGCTGACCTCGGTGTTGCCCTGATTTTTGTTACTGAAATACAGCAGGTAGATTAATGATCTGGTTTTATGCCTCTTTTCCTTTTCCTTCTGATTCCTCCCCCCCCCCCCCCCTTTTATTGCCTTCCCCGTCAAACTTTTCAGAAAGCATTTTTACCTTACATTCTCCATGCCGGTAATCACATGCCTTCACACACACTTGCACACGCAAGCACAAACACACACACGTCAGTCACTGCTACCTCCCGCTTCCTGGTTATCAACCCCAAAGGCCACAGTCAGCCCCTCCCTGTCCCCAGTGCAGATGGCACTGTTTGGCACTGACTGTGCAGTGAACTGGCATCTCCGGAGCATTGCTTCCTGTGTGACCTAAGCAGTGGGCCCTCTCTCTCCCAACTACGTTTTAGTCCTCAAGTGGGATCCTGAAAGTAGAGGCCCCGGTTATGATAATTACAGGCAGGAGACCTGGGGATGATTCTGAAACTGGATATCTCTGTGCTGTCGTGCCTGGGATTTGTGGGGAAGGAAGGTGAGGACCACGGGATTTGGGGCCCTCTTAACCTGGTCCTCAGAATATATTCCTTCTGGAAGCCCTGACTGGCTTTGCACATTCTCCCAGGACACTAATACTGCTTTCGTACCTTATTTTTTTATATATATAAAAAGCAAGGAAATATAAAATACTTATACCAAATGAGTGGTACCGGGAGCCTGAGAAATTCTGCAAATAGGGAAATGCAGCCTTCTTCCTCTGGGTATAAACATTTCAAGGAGATCACGAGTCATGTTTGCTGTTGTTTTGTTTCCTCAGTGAAAAAAACTACTCATTTAAGATGCCCGTATTTGCAGCCACTCTTCAGACTTAACAGCTTTCGTAAGGGGGCCGAGGCTGAGCCTCTGAGATGGCCTCCGCACTGCCGATTCGATGAGGCTCGTGTGCACCAGGGAGGCCCCAGGTGCCGTGTCTCCATTGTTGTTTGCCCGTCCACTCTCCCTGGACTGAACTATTCCAAACGTACTTCAAATCTCCGGCAGTACTGCCTTCATGACCGTGTCCTCTCTCTTCCTTGCGACCCCCCCTGCCCGCCTGTCCCCTCCTTTTCCCTTCTGGTCAGCAGTCCAGTGTTGCAACCTCGGTGAGAAAAACCCATCTATACCATGGAGAATTCTGAACAGGAGGAAGGCCTGAAAATCTAGGAAGGGCAAAGGTGATGTCACCCGTCTCCCTTTCTGGGCTGGGCTGAGCTTGGTGGTATTCAGCTACACGGCGGCAGTCATGGGGTTCTTCTGCCTGGGATCCTGGGGTCGGTAGGGGTACTGGTCTGGGCTGCCCCCGTGGGGCCCTGGTCTACCCATTTCCTGATAGGCTGGCACTCTGTGGTGCTGAGGAGGGGAAGGTGGGACATCTTGTCGGAAGGGTCCTTTATGCTGGGGGGCTGGCGGAGGAGGGTAATACTGAGGATACCGGAGGTCTGCAACCCTCAGATCCGGCGGGCGGGGGTAGCTCCCCTTGGGAGGATGCACGGGATGAGCCCCTGGGTAATATGGGAGCTCCCTTTCCTTGTAGAGCGCTCGAGGTGTTGCCGTCAGATAGTCTATAGGATCAGCGGGTCCTCCCCTGGAAAGAGAAGAACAGACACATATCAGTAGCTACTAAGCTGGCTGCCCAGCTGAAGACCCCACCCCTCAGCCTCCCGTGTAGTTTGGTGTGGTCAAAGACTAGGTCTGGCCCGTGGGGTGTGAATAGAAACGATGTGCACCCTTGAAAAGAGGAGGGTGATTTTTCTTCTTCCCCTCTCCTTCCTGTTGGCCATCGGAGTAGCCATTTTAAACCGCACAGAGGAAGCCACATGCTGAGGAAGGTCGAACAACAAGAGCGCAAGGGCCCAAGTCCTTGATACCACGGAGCCACCTGTCAGCCAGGACTGCTTATACTCAGATTGGTGCAGGAGAGAGAAATCTACTTCTACCTAGTTTATACCACCGTGCGTTGGCCTTCAGTATAGTGGCTAAACTGGTTTTCTAAGGAAGGCAGACTTGGGCTTTCCTAAAGCTGGGATGATTTGACCCCTCCTCTACTCTTCCCTCCGAGGACGGAAGCCTGTCATAGACATGGTGGTAGAAGTGTACAGGTTATTCAGAGTTATAAAGGTCCCGTGGACTGTCCTCACTTCTCTGCTCGGTCCGTGGGGTGCTGTTGACATGGGCCACGGTCTTGGTCTAACTCTGGTTAGCTTCTGTCACATTCCCCAGGTGCCCTCCCCTCTCTACAGTTCCTAGAAAAAGTCGTAACCCAGAGCTGGGAATTATCCACCTAGGACTTGATCTAAAGCAATTCTATCAGCAAGCCAAGAAGCACCACCAGGCCAGGAGCAGAGAGGGAAGAGCCGAGCCAGCTGGAAGCTGCACTGTGTAATGAGTAGGCACGCAGAATGGCCCAGGGCAAGAAGAAACACTCACAGAAAGTGACCCTGTCTGGATCTCTCTACTAAGACAACAAGCATCCTCTGATCTGTTTGCTATAACAGAAGCAATACGTCTTTAAACAACGTACAGATGACTGCATCTTATCTAGCCTGGGGTTAAACAGATGAGTTCTGTTTGCAGCTCTTAAAATCCCATAAACCTTCTGTGTGCATATTTGCCGGATCCTTCCCATTTTCTACTACTCTCCCTTTTATAAATTTTTTAAAGGAAAAAAAAAAGCAACAATAATAATTAATGAAAAGCTCTTCAATGCCAGAGTACAAATTGGGAGAACACTTGAAAGAAATGACAGAGCTGTAAGAATACAGTGTCTGCGGTTAATCAAGCACTGTCAATGAGGGTCAGAATCACCCTGTAATCTGCAGAGTTTGATGTTAAAACAGCTCTGTAAGTTCCCCAAATCAATGAAGGTTTGACAGGCTCCAAGCTCCGGTGCATGTGGAAAGTAGCATGTGAACACATTCATAATGATGAACAATAGCACTCTCTCCTTTTTGATGTCTTAATTTGGCTATGTATAATAATGAAAGATCCTTGAGCTTGGGGTAATTTAGTTAGAGTTTTCAGATAAAAAAATTAAATTGTTTGTGTACAAGTTATTATAGCATCAACTGCTATTATTCAGTGCAGTTTGCTTTGGTCTATTTTAAATTGCCCATGACAAATACAGCACAAATGCATAATCTGTCACTCCAGCCCTGGGCAATAAAGGATCAGGGTTACATCTTCCCTTTCCTTTAGAATTTTATTTTTGACTTAGAAAACTTCCAGCATTCATTATATCTTTTGTCGTAAAATATTTTAAGCCCCCCGCCTCATTTCTATTTCCTTTCGGTTCATGTTAGAGATTTCCGAAACACTTAAAAAAATATCCTAAACCTGTGCTTTCTCTCGAAACCTACTGAAGCTATTTCTCTGCATGAAGTGAAACATGTGGTTTTTCTGCACTCATTTTAAGCCCTTGGGATAAATCACTGACATTTGCAACACACAAACATTATCTGCCTTAAAATGAACATACAACCAATGCTCCCTCCGGACCCTCTTAGCAGGATTGTTTCCTGTTTAAAATGGAAAGAGAGAAAGGAGGAATTCCAGGCCTTGGACTTTTAGGGTCCTGTGCTCTCCACGGAGATTTCTCTCCTTTAAAACAGAACATTATAAAAGACAGGCACACCTTGTTTTTTTATTTTTATTTTTTTTATTTTTGAAGAGACAACCCAGATCAAGTGGTGACGGGGCAGAATCCACCCTGAATGTTGCTGTGACAGCACAGGGGTGGGCAGGGGGGCAGTTGTTATCTCTTCTCCCACACCTCACCCCTGTGACTCATCCATGTCTCCCAGCAAGGGGTAGGCAGGCTTCTTCCCCTGGGCAGATGGGGAAGAACTCTTGAGAGTTCTGTGGACCCATATCCCTTCCTCTGACGGGAGGTTTTATGGCTGGGAGTTTGCTTACATGTGGCAGAAACCAAGTGAGGTAGCTGTTCTTTGTCAAGAAATGAAATCATGGAAACTGTCTTTTCCCGGAGAACTCATCAAAACAGTTATTGTTTTTAATTTTTCATAGTGAAGAAAAACAATGAACTGGCCTATAAAAACACTGTTTAAGGTTCAAAGAGTGCTAGAAGAATTTTCCTTCTTTGATGGGGGGGCCGCTATGGTTGTTTATAATAACTTTTTCCTCAAAACTGAGCATTTCCTATAGACTTCTGCCAGAGCAACTTCTAAGGGCTGGTGAATATTGTGTGCGTGTGTGCGCACAGACACCGTGACAGAGACACACAGACACACACACACAAAAGAATGATTTTTAAACAGGAAAAAAATAAAGCCTTCCTCATTAACTTGTTAGGATATAGAAAGAATAAGGAGCTGAAATTTTAGCTTTGTTGATCTTGAGTTTCCCTTTTGTATATTTGGGTGAAGTTTAGTGTTTGTAGGAAAGCACAAAAACCAGTCCATTCTGAGGCCTAAGAAATGCTTATCATGGCGACCGGTGTTGCACGTTACCGGCCAACCCTGAGAAATCCAGGGGCAGCTTCCTCCAGAGACTATGATGAAAACAAGGACCCAGACAGCAAATGTATCGACACTTCCAGACCCCTCATTTTGCAGGTGACCTCGTGAGTTTTATTTGTATGTATTACTAATTTTCTTAAAAATACTTTCAATTGAAACATCTCACTCAGGAACCATATTTACCTACAGAAGAAGGAACGAGTCTGTATTTGCTTTCTTTATATACCTCTTTGAGGAGGTGATCATGAAAATATCTTTACTTTTAAAATTTTGTGTTTTTTTCCACATTTTTTACGGTTTACTCTTTTTCCTATTTTATTCTTGATTAGGCTCATTTCTGGAGGCCAAAAGGCTTCAGCTTTTCCTTGGAAAACTCATAGGAACTCTCTCAGTTATGTGGCTTCCAACCACATAGGTGCAGATGCATGCAATAATGATTGCTAACCTTTAAGCTTAAACATGACAAGGTTGTATGGTGTTGATATGTGAAGAAACAATAACAATCACTTTCTTTACATGAGATTCTCTTCTTTTTGCCAGCTCAGTATGTCACTATTTTTCACTGAGCAAAACAGGGGCTGAAAATCAGAGGCTAAGCAGGTCAGATAGCCAGCCCCCAGGTACCAACAGTCTTCACTCTATGGAAGGATGGAAGGCAAGCTTCTACATTTGCTAAGGCAATCCTGTGTAGGGAAAGGGCTCAGTATTGGAAAGACTGAGTCACTGGCAAAACCTTTTAGCTGGGAATGAGGTGGCTATACTTACTGGAATAGAAGACAGGCCATGAGCAATTGTGAATCCTCCGATCTGCCCCTGCTCTCCCCGCCACCTCCCTCCTCGATTACAAAAGAAAAATCTCTTTTTTTCTGCATTCACCACAGTAGGTCATTCTCACCTCACGTGGGTGAAAGACTAGTTACATACTGAACTAGAGCACAAACATCTTGAAGGAACTGAGTCTTATATATCTAGTGATCTCCCTGAGCTTAGCACATGGATTTGCACATCCTAGGTACTCCATAAACGTGTGTTGAATTTGTTAAAGAGGGTTAAAGGAAAGAGAAAACCCACAAACATGCACAATAACCACAGACGTTCAGAAGCGTGGAAGGGGTAGAAGTAGGTCAGTGAGTAAAAAAATAAAAGGAGGTAGCCAACTCTCACTGAGAGCCAGAGATTGGCAAAGGTCGGGGTAAGACTGGTTTCTAGTTCTTCCTCCCTGTTTAATTGAGAAATAATTGACATACCTCACTTTGTAAGTTTAAGGTGTACAGCACGATGGTTTGATTTACAGCTATTGTGAAATGATTACCGCAGTAGTTTCAGCTAACATCCATCTTCTCATATAGACATGGCGAGAAGAAAAGAAAGAAGAATAAAGGGAAGAAAATTCTCCTTGTGATAAGAACTCTTAAGATTTACAATCTTAATAAGCTACCTTATATCATATGGCAGGGTTAGCTGTAGTCATCATGTTGTACATTACATGTACATTACATGGTCTCTAATTTTTAAAGAAGGAAAGAGGGATGGAGAAAAAGATGGTGGGCTGAAAAAAAGGGTTGGATTGAGTCCAACACGGAATGACTATAAACTTTATCAGGGCACGGGTTCTTATATTTGTCTTGTTTGCCAAGAACAAAAGTATACTCCATTGTCTTATATAGTACTTGAAACATCGTACGTGCTTAATAAATCTTGGGCTCCCATTTAATGGCCTTGACTTGCCAGTGAGGTCAACATGACGAAGTAGTACAGGTTAAGTGTATTTATTCAAGAATCAGGTAAAGACTGTGTTTATTATCATCCGGCAAAGAAATTTTCTTTGTTTCTGTCATAAACACAATAATCTAGGAACACTGTAATGTATGCCATTAAAAATACAGTACACAGGATCTCAAATAAAGGCCTTAGGGAGATAATGTCAAAGGTGATATTAGGTGCAATCACCAGTTTCAAGCCTGGACTTGAGGATTGATGAACACGAACCAGAGGTAGAGGTGATGTCCAGTTCCCATCTGTCACAGCACTTCCCAACCTTTTCTTTACCAGAATACACATGATGGATGACTTTCATATAAGCCGCTCGAGCTCCAGAGAGGCAGAAGCT